TTTAATCCCTTTCTCCCAATTGCATTTGCACTATTGGATTTTCCCTGTCTGATCATAGTACAACCTTTTCCTCAGCATAACTTCCTCACTGCAACTAATTACAAGGATGGAATGATTGAACCATGTGACAATCTCATGCTCCCATTCTCTTTCACTACATAATATTTCAAGTGTCTACTGATGATAAAAACAATGGTTTTATGAAGCAGATGTTTCTAAACACTGCCATAGTGGCTCTTTTGCAACAACAAAAACAACAACAATGGCTCAGTAAACCTTTGTCACAATTCATTCTGGGAACAGAAATGGAAAAAACAGAAATGGAAAACAGTCATATCAGAATGTGTCATCCTCTATATTTCTCGGAAAACTAAAGGACTTACCAACTTTGTATCAATTTGAAGAAAACTGAAAGATTAGTAGGACATCATTTGCAATTATAACAATTGGTCTCTATGGAGATGGATAAAGTGCAGGAGAGTCTTATATCTCTCCCAGTATTTTTGAGAGACTTCACACTGTGAACTTTAAAGACACAATGGGAAAGAAAGTTCAGGGGAAAAGTTCAGTTGATTAAAGTTGAAAGGAAAGGCAGCTTGACAGCAAAGAGTGAGCAAAAGAAGAAAAGAAAGTGGAAAAGTACATACAAAGCATCCAAACTGATAGACTGAAACAACTGATTTAGAAACTACTGTTCAGCTAGCAATAATTAACACCAAGTTATGTAAACAACACTGATTTGGGTTTGTTATTTTATTTACAGTTTTGTTAGCCTCAAAATGATGGCTACTTTTCCTTACTTATAGGGGCATTACAGATTTTTAAAATCTTGCTCTAAAATATCTAGTTCAGGAATGGGAGAATTGTTTTGGAAGATAGTTTTGTATCAGATTGTTACTGTAAAACGGGTTCATGAGCTTGCCCCATATCTAAATGTTTGTTCTCTTTCATATAGAGGAAATTGGTTTCTGTTGGTCTGTACATGGAGGAGCATAACTCCAGTCCTGTTTTTTCTTTCTCTAGTAAACCTCTTTAAGCCAGACTTCCATATGTGGCAGGCAAACACCACAGAACTGGGAATGAGTCAAGTTCAAAAACAGCATGGCCCCAGGCTATCAGAGTTCAGGGTAAAAGAAGCCAGGTGGCCTATAAAATGAAGAGAGAGAGAAATATCTGATGTCACATTTAATGCACTGGTTTACTCAAGTTTTGTCTACTTTGTACAAGTCCCAGCACAATGATTTGGTACAGTAACCTTCCCTGTTTTGCTTGCTTGCTGTCTGTCTGTCTATCTTTCTTTTGGCATACTGTGACATTAAAAATTTTTTACATAGAAGTGGAATTGCGGAGGAGAAAAATTAAATGGTAAGTACAAGGTCAGGTATACATAAACACTATTAAAAATTACTAGGATTTAAAGTAGTTGCTGTTTCAAGAAAATATGCTTCCTTTTCATTCCAGCACCTTAGATCCCAGAGATCCAGCTGCCATGTGGAACATTGCACTATTTCCACAAGCATGAGCATGCATGCTCACACATAAGTGATGCCAAATCTTTTAGAAAACAAAAGAGTATTGCAAAAATATCACAGTGAAAATGTGCCAGCGTCTGGTTGTCAGGGCTTATATTCTGCAACATCATCATCAACGATCTCCTCAGATTATAAATATATATTGCTTTAATTGTCATTTTTGTGAGGTGGAGGAAGCATTTCTTCTTCAAAATAGCTTTCCTCCTGGAAGGTTAAATTATTCTATAATAAGGCTCCTTTATAGTACTAGCTTGCTTTTTCTAATTAAAGCTCACTTATCTACAATACTTTGTGAATTCTTCCATTATCTCTCTAAAGATAACAATATTCTCAGTAGGATTTCCTGAAAACAACTAACTGGAGTGAGGACTGAAGAATACAAAACATCCCAGAGCAGCTTTCCCCAACCTGGTTCCCTCTAGACATTTTGGACTTCAGCTCTCATCAGCTCCAGCAAGTGTGGCCAATGGTCAGTATTTCTGGAAGCTGTAGTCAAAAGCATGTTTATTGCAATGCCATCCACCAGTTGTTCTTTCTCTCAAAAAGCAGTTCTTCATGTTTAATGATGAATGCATTCAAAAGGCATGCTGTAATATAGAATAAACTGGCCTCTGATCAAAATAAAATTGCAACTAGTTCAGCTAATCCTTTGCAGAAAGTTGTCCTGCCATAGGATAGAACATTTTGGAGGGGCAGCAAGGACATTTTTACATTAAGTGTGGCTGGACACATTTTCTTGCCTCCCCATTTTAGGATTCCCATTTTTCTTGCCTGGTTTTCCTTCGTATTTCTCTGCCTCCCCCTTCAAATTTCCTTTTCTCACAGCCTCTCCTTTCCTATTTCCTCTGTTCCCTGCGCTACCTCCCTACTTCACACCTATTATTCTATCTCAGTGTGGTGACCTGATGCCTATAGGCATCCCAGGTATAGGTACAAGGCCTGGTAACAGCACCAGAACTGGTACTGGCTGCTGCCACCGAGAATAAACCTAATCTGCTCAGTCCTCAAGTGCTCTTGGTGCCTTGGGAACAACTGGCCAAGGATCCCACGGGGGTTCTTATGATAGGCCAACATTGCACCTAAGGCAAAAGACATCCCTCCATGAACTTATTAGAAGAGGAACAGAACAAAAATGTCATAGATGCAATGAATAAAAACACAGAAAGGCCTCACAGAAAAAAAGAGGGCATTTTTAAAAAGCTGTACATGTGAAATCAGTACTAGGGTCAAACAAGAGCATCAGTTTAACTGAAAGTTTAAGTGGTGCCACTTCTCATACTTTATTTAAATCCCTCCTTAAAATCCACATTTTCAGTGAAGGCTTTGGTATAATTACCTGGCCTATATAACTCAACCCAAACATATCTCACTGAGAGAATTGCATATTGCCCGATTGAGGGCCGTCTAGAGATGTTTTAAATAAATAAATAAATAAATAACACTTCCTTGTTTTCCCCCACTTCCCCTTCCTCCTGATGTTCCTGCGATGAATTTGATTGTAAACTCCTCTGCAAAGTACCATGCACACTAATAGCACTAAACCAGCCTTCCCCGATCTGCTGAACTACAACTCCCAAAATCTTCAAGCAATGCAGTAATGGAAGTTACAGTCCAGTATATTTGGAGGGAAGGCTGTACTACACACATAAATACTGTAATTTCTACTGTAACATATTTATAGTTACCAAGCTTCCTGACTTGACACCCTTTAAGTATTTGGGACTTTGGATGTAGTCCAAAATATGTGAAGGGCAGAGAGGTAAGGCTGATAGTAAGCATCTGTATAATGTTATGACACAATTGCAGATTTCATAAAAGGAAATATAAACCCATTCTACTGGAGAAAATGCTTTAACACCACAGTCTGTTCCTTGGATAATCTTGGGGAGGTGTGTTATAAGTACTCTAAAATCTTGTAATTAAAACTGGCACCCCCAAAACCTCATCATAAGCCTAGATGATAGATGTATTTTACTGCTATTACTCTAGCAAGAAACTACTTTAGACATTTCTCCATCACTCCACTTCACCTGCCTTCAGAAAATCACAATCTGATATTCCAGGTGGGCAAGTAAGAGAGTCAACAAAAGATTCAGTTGTTCATAGAAGGCCAATGGAATGCCTAGCATAGGCAAACAGAACTTTCTAATTAAAAAAATTAAAATGGGAACTATTGCTGTTCAATTCTTGAGTTTAAAAAACGCAAGACATACTAGACATTAGCTGATTATTGTCATTCCTGTGGAATGACCTTTAGTGTGACATTCACTCTTAGGATGGAAAGAGGTTGGGACATTTATTACAAGAGCAATCAAAATGTGTCAAGATCCTTTATTTTCAAAAGCAATGATGGCATTTTATGTAATTGGCACCTAGCCTAATGAGCCAGTGTGATTTTTTGGTTTCTATAACTTTTCAAAATTGCATTCCCCTTACAACAGGTGATACATAGGTAACTGGTGGAAAGTTCAGCATCTTTTGATGCTGAAAACTGTGGAAATAGCATCAATACAAAATTACAGCAAAGCTTGTAAAATGGTCACCATGCACTCTCAAGGATTATACAAGTTCAGTTTTTAAAATATCGTTTTTAATTCTTTTACTTTTTACTTATTACTATTACTTTCAAACTTAACAGTAATTGTTAATTTCAGAGTTTTCCCCTTTCTTTCTACAGAGTTCTTCCAGTTCTCCAGCAAATAAATAATCTGTAGATAGTTCCTGTCTTCCCTGTGACAAAAACTTGACAAGCTACATAGAGCCATCAAGAACCAGGGGGCTGCAATGTGGTGCCCACGGAACAATGAGAAGCCAGAGAACCTTGGCTATTGAGCAGTAGAACGCTAATACAAATAAACAAACATTTTCAATTGTATAATGTTCTATTTCTTTAAAAAGCACTTTAGAAAAACAGGCTGCTTATTTCACTTTCCATCATTCCTTCATAAATGCCCCACAGTCTGATGTGTTCTGTGGACTAGTCCACAGTCACAAGTATGTCAAAATCACATGCTTTTCTTCAATCAAGCAAAATATAAGAGTACAGAAGCAGTATCATATGTCTCCACATGACACAAGTGAGAAAGTCTTATTAATAAGAATTTCAACCAGGATTTGCCTGATGACCTTTATCAGGTGAATAAAGTAAGACGGTGATTGAGAAAGCAAGAAAAAGAAATGCTGAATATTTTCTATTCTTTTTTTCCCCTGTAGAAAAGGAGGACAAAAACATGAAGTAGAGAAAAAGAAGAAACCTGAAAAATGAAGGAGGTCAGAGAGAATTTTTAAAAACCCAACACTTTGTATGGTAAGTAGTAGAGGAAGACCTTCCTGATGTGTCCATCTGAAAGTTTTTCCACCTGAATGCAGAAATATCATTGCCTAATCTTAACTGTATGTCCAGAAACACAGCAATGTATATTTCTTTTTAAAGTGCTTCATTAGAATTTATAATTAAACATTCATTACCTTTTTTGGAGGTTCTAATAATTGTCTCAGAAAGCAGTAACGGACTTCCATTAGAAACTTCATGTATAGACTTTTCTGGTACTTTGTTGGCAAGGCTGTCTTTTTTCACATCTTTTTTTATCTCCTATATAAGAAATTAAAACAGATAGGGGAAAACATATTTAGAGATAACATTCATGAGTAAGTACATATGAACCATGTGTTTTCACTATCACTAGCCTAGGAACTGATAATTAGATTAAGAAAAATCCTTTCGAAATTTAGAGGATGCACAGTAGGGTATTCTACTATTGCTGATGCATTGCTCCTCCATAATCAGCTGGAAGCAACTGTGGTTCCACATGGCACTCAACATAATACTGCATCCTTACTAATATCCTACAGTGCTGATCCCCTCAGCAATGGCTAAATTGCAGCCTTATAGTGAGAGACAAGGAATACTTACTTGGTCATAAGATTAATTATATGCAATGGCACCTTCTCCCTGGCAAATATGCTGGTATCCCTGCCTTTATTTTTTTAAATTAGACCTCTAAATATGCAACAATGAAAAGGAGTGCTGGAGATCTGCTTCCCCTTCAATGGGAATAGGGAAGCGGGGTTGTCCTTGGGTGGATGCTCTGGCTACAGGTGGTCAGGGTGGCAGAGAGAAAGAGTGAGCAAAGCACTAACCCCAAAAGAAATATACTGAGCCATACAAAGAATCCCTGCTTGCTGGTACCCTTGCCACTCCTTTCCAAGCCAGCTGGAGGGGAAGGAAAGGACCTGAACTGTCCCTAAAACAGTGTTGCTCCCCGTATCCTCTTGCCCATGAACTCAAATATACCAGGGAGGTCCTTTCGTTATATGAACATCAAATGAAGTCCTGCTTGTAATAAGACCTTAGCACAGCAGCCTAGCTGTGGAATGCCCTTTCCCTGGCACTAGATGGACACTACCACTGGTTAGTTTAAAGCACCAAATGAAAGCAGTTCTTTTTTATCATTTGATTAACAGATGGTTCTGTGTAACAGAGAAGAATAGCTGCAGGATACAAATACTGAATCTGGCAGACTAACTCACTTTTTTAGTATTTTGTAATGATAATATATTGCGACCACCCTGGGATCATTTCATGATGAAGTGTGGGATATAAAAACTTTATAAATACAAATAGATAAAATGACAATGCATGCAGTGAACTAGAATTGATGGCTACTTGCACTCTAGCTGTGTATTCCCTAAAAAGCAGCACGGTGAGTACTTGGGGGTCCAATCTTTACTTCTACAGAGCTTTCTCCAAAACTGATTCCATCCTGCAGGAGACTGGTATGTGCTCCCCTCCCCCCAGACACACAAGTGCATGCATGCACAGATAGACAATAGGAGGTGTAGGGCCTCAATGGCAAGGAAATAGGAAGTCAGGCAGAAGCAGAAACAACTTCAAAGGAAAGATAAAGTAAAAATAAACTACACCTGCAATTATTGTGCAGTTGTGGCATTCTTTAGAAAAGAAGTCAGATTTTTCTGTTGTATGAAAAAAAGGAAAAGAAATGTAGGAGAAAGAACCAATATGCAACATGAGTGGCAATGTTTATCTGACGTCCAGTAAAGAAGAAGTGAGTGACTGAAGCACAGTAGTTCCAGGCTAACTTGTGTGGATCTGGCCTGTCTTCAGTTATGTTGTTGTTATGTACCATTAAGTCATCTCTGACTTATGGCAACCCTATGTACGAAGGTCCTCCATAATGCCCTGTCCTTGACAGCCCTACTCCGCTCTTTAAACTCCTCCAGTTATACTACCACCAATATCTTACATTATAGTGCAAATCATTTCTAAAGAACATTCTATTTGAAATTGAACCGATCACATCATTATGCACAAACAATGAGTTTTTAAAAGTTTTGTATGAGTGCAGGCAAAAAAGGAGGACTGGAGAATGCTAAAGGAAAAGTAGAAAAAGAAAATGGAAGTCCATTAATATATTTCAGTTCTCTTTTCTCAGTGTCTGTGTGAACACAAGTACTTTACTACACGTTTATATGCATATTTCCAAATCACTGTTTAAAAACATTTGAATGGAATTAGAACACAATGCACAAAAGGTGGAAGTGGTAATAAAGGTGTCATTTACAATGAAATTTTAAGAATTAACATTCTTAGTGCAATTCCACTGACAACATTTGAACTCGATGCTTAATTAACCTAGTTATGATCTGGCTGGAAAGTGTTTTGTAGTTGCTAGAGGAAACATACCGAGAAAGTGAAAGCTACTACCATGCCAAACGCTAACATTTCATCCTTGACATCTTCTTAGCATCTACAGTATTCTGCACAGTGCACACTGTACATATCACTACCAAATGAATAATATGAATAATGAATATTCACAATGAAGCGTCTCAGTTTTAAAAACTTCCACAGCAGACAGCAAAAGCAAACAGAAAGCTACCTTCTTTTAAGATAATACAAAGGTTCAACATTCGCTTGCATGCTTGCTACCAATGTACTAATTTTCATCATGCTAGATATAGTGCTTTCAGAACATGGAATGATTCAACTCAGGAACGCATATGCCACCAGCAGTTGGCTTTTTCTATCTGCTTTGCCACATCCCCAGCCCTGAGGGTCTTCATCAAGAGTGCTGCTACTTTTGTTTTATGTATGAAGGTGTTGGTGCTATGACAGAACAGCTTAAAGGCACTGGCCCAGGGAATGGATTTTTCCATCATGTTCATCTCAGTGTTCTGTTTCCAAGAGACAGCCATGAGGATGAAGGTGTTCTTTCTTTACTCAGGAAATGGGGCACTGCTGGGAGGAAGCACTCTTTTTGCTCCCTGAAATTCCGTGTGTGTGTGTGTGTGTGTGTGTGTGTGTGTGTGTGGCCAGGGTGAGGTGGGGGTCTCAATTTATTTCCTGTGAGTTCGACATGGATGAAGTTTGTTATTTAGGTTTCCTAACATCACCTGCAATGATTTTTAAAAAATGCACGAATGCTATTCTTGCTACTGGATGTCGTAAACGTACCTATTGGTATGCCTTGTGATTGTTTAAAATTTAATATGTTTTAACTGAAGTGCAGTTTATTTAATATTGCACTGTAATTTATTATCATAACTGCAACTTAATTTGTGTCTTTTGAACTTATTCAACAGGAATGGACAGAAGACAAATTGGGATCTACTAGCAGATCTATGGACATAAGTGCTTCTGATTCCCAATTTAAGAACAGCAACAACAAAAAGGCTTCCCCTACTCTGAATCAGGTTGCTGTAATGAATGGAATTTGAAGAAAGAACAGGAGTGGATTTTTGACAAAGACATTCTGGGTCTGAGACACAGGCCACTGAATGTATGCTTCTGATAAGGAAATGCTTTGCACCAGATTCCAATGGATAGACTTTGACATTCTCATAAAAAACAAAGAAGATCCTGGATATCTGAAGTCTTTTTAACCATAGTTGTAGGGTAGTAATTCTGCACTACTGCTACCAAAGCTTACACAATATGATGATATATTTAAATGTTTAAGAATTCCATGCGGGATCAAACAAAAGGCCTATATATTCCAGTACTACATTTCCCATGATGATCGTGGGTAGTCTGCAACATGTCATAAATGCAATAGTACCCTCCTGCTCATGTACCCCGGCTACTTGTATACTGTCCCTGAAATAGGTAAAATAGGTCCTTTAAGCTTGACGTATGCTCACACATACCCTGGAAAATAAAAGGATCTTCTGTACATAAGTAGGCTGCAGAATCTTTGCTCTGTCCTTGGGGTCTGACTTACACAAATGTGACCACTGCTAAATTAGACATTTCGTACTGCCATTATGTTTCTTGTACATTACCTCCAGTAGCATACTGTAAATGACAGCTGGAACCATAGTTGGTCACCAAGAAACTCCATCATTTATGAAATCTCTTCAGCTTATAGCCTGTGACTTATCAAAATGAATCTTTATGTCCTAGCCAGAGCGCTATGTGGCCAGTGTCTGGTTCCTCAAAATTTATCTCTCTCAGACAGAAAGCCCAAAAACTATATTATCTTTTGAAAAATGGCTACGCTGGATCCTATGACTGACACTGAACTGCTCTGACAGCTAAACTAACAAAAACAAGAGGGACCTCAAGAAACAGTTCTAAGCTCTATAATTCTAGTTATTACTGGCATGGACAGAAAATGGTCAATGGAAAATGTTATGTTCTTATAATCACACAGCAATTCTGTAGTGGCATTTCTCCAATAATGCTTAATTTTTTTCCTGGAAAGTTTTTTATTTGGAAAACAATAACAGCAGTACTCTACAGAGTATTCTAAGTTTGGAAACTTGGTTCCTAAATTACTCCAGAATGTTTCTCGAAAATTTAACTGAAACTTCCAATGTCAACAAGCTTTAAATCTGTACATGCATACAAACCCAAAATATCAGTGCCATCATCTTTAAGATGCTTGAATAATGAATATATAGTATATTTCTGACAGGTTCTTTGAATTGTTGATAGCTTATTCGGCACAGGTTGGGTTGGTGGGACAACAGAATACCAGAAATTACCAACTATCAGAAATGATCAACCATCATTTTCAAAATTTATTCACAGCTTTGAAAAGCAAAAGTATATTTTTAAACCACTATGACTAAAGTACAAGTATCACTCACCATTAGTGATGTAAATTGGCTCTTCCAAATGTGGACTATTCTCAGTAAGAGAACAGTTTACTTGTTTTCAAATGACTAAACTGAGCCCACAATCAGACATACATAAAACTCTTGGTCTGTGCTCACACTGGAGTTAAAAGATTTTAGGCACTCCCTTCACAGTTTCAGGTATCGTGCAAATGCTATCAGAACTTATCTTTAGAAAAAAAACTTTGATGCTCTACATTTGCAGCAGAGGAAAAATAAGCTTAATATTACTTGAAGCCACCAAGGTGTTTTGATAACTATAGAAACATGGGGAAGAGAGGAAGAAAACCCAAATGATAAAATTGTCTATAACTCAGACATTCAACCCCAGTTTCTGCTGAATCTTGAACCTGATAAAGCAGAAAAAGTACCACCACCACCAAGAATAATAATGCATGAGCTATCCAGAGGCAGCACATGTAAAACATTCTAGTTATCTTAACAGTACAAAGA